GATTGGGTAAAAAAAAGTTTTTTTTTTTTTTTTTTTTTTTTTTTTTTTTTTTAGGGATTCATAGCTCCTTTAGAGCTCATCTAGTCCCACTTACATATTTTACATGAAGAACAGACCCTGTGGTTTCACAGTTAATAAATTAAAAAGTAAAATTTAGGCCTATTACGGTATTATTTCCATTACCCTATGGTTTCTATAGAATTCATGTCCTCTTTCCTAACTCATTTGGTTATTTCTGATATCCATGTCTTTTTTTTTTACCCTTTTGGTTCTTTCTATAAATAGTTCTGATGTAATACACCTTTCATCTTCAGAACACTACCTATATTTCCATAAGTTATGGATTTTTCTAGGAAGAGGAAGTATCAATAGAAACAGGAAGAGATTAGCACTCTTTGGAGTGTCCATCTGTAAAGTAGTGATGATATTAGTGAGGTGAACTCCCTCTGATCAGAAGGGACAACTGATGAATCGGAATACTACATTAGAAATGTTAAATACTGGGGCTGGCAGGTGGTGTGGTGGTTGAGGTGCTGGACTCCCATATGGCCAACCATGGATCAAGTCCTAAATCTGGCAAGCTTGCTTTCTCACTCTCCCTTTCTCTCCGTCTCTCTGGTCAAAATTGAACAATAATGATAATAGATAAAATTAAAAATAAATCTTTAAAAAAAGGTGTCCAATAGAGGTTATTGAATGTTCATTGTAAATTCAGATTTTTGGCTTCTACCATAGGAAGTTTTGACTTCTAAAACTAAAGCAGAGTCATAAAATGTCTTTGGAGTGTTGCAAACCAAATTTTCTTTTATTGTAATGGAAGCTTTTATTGATATTTAAACAAAAATCTTAAAATATATACCATCATTGGCCTAAGGCAGAATATCAAAGTATAAATATAAATCTTCTAAGACTAAGACACTGACATTGTCTAAAAGTAAGCTGTTGGTGAGATACATCTGTATGACCTGGGTGTAGATCTACACTGTGAAAGGAGCTTTCTCTCTTGATTTTTGATTACTTATTTGGAAAGGTGTTCAGAAACATTGCCAAACAGTTTTTTTCAGTAACTGTTATCTTAAGCTTGTCCCCACACAGCCATCTGTTATATAGTATTGAGGTAAGGTCAAGCCACAAACCATGGTGTGATTTCTGCTTTACATACTTTCTTTTGATGTAATTAAAAGTATTTCACACTTCTTTTAGAATGTGAAACCTATAAGGGATCTTTTTTTTTTCCAGACATCTTTCAAAGACAAGATACAGTAATTTCCAGGGCAAAAGATCTTATTAATTCATAGCCCTTCTTTCTTGCAGCTACACCTAAACCCATTAGAGAGCCAAGATAAAAATTTTTAAGTGAGGCTTATGCAAGTGTTTATACCAAGTACATTTTCACATCCTGAGTTATTACTGCTCTGTTTTTCCCCCTCTTATTTTAGATTATTTTTCTTCCTATGCCATATAAATATTACTTTATTGCTGGTGTTCCATCTTCAGATCAACCTTCTGATATGCACCTTCCACAGTCCTTCAGGTTTAGTTTGTTTGGAGTTTGTCAAGTCAGGCCTTGACTTTCTGACCCATACCTCTCTTCTTTGACAAAAAAAAAAAAAAAAAAAAAACTTCTGTACCTGTCCTAAAAGGTTAAATTTTTTAAAAAAAAAAAAAAAAAAAAAAAGGGAAGAAGAAGAAGTAGAAAAGTGCTTCTTTTCTTGATCCAAAAGTCTTCTTTAAAAAAAAAAAAGTGAATTATTTATTTAATAGTATTTATTCATTTATTTATTTTAATTTTGGCCAGAGAGAGGGAAAGTGAGAAATCCAGTCACCAGGTCCGGGACTCAAACTGTAGTTGGTCATGTGGGAGTGTCCAACACCTTAGCCATTACGCCACTTGCTGGTCCCCCAAAAATCTTCATTTAGGCCACTAGAGTTAAAAAGGAAAACATTTTCCAATCATGAAAGTTTATGCGTATGTGTGTATATATGTATATACACTTCTAAATGCTTACTAAACTCATATCTGCATGTTTTCTTTTAAATTAAGTGGGGGTGGGAGTGAACTTCTAAGGAAATGAGTATACAAGAAAAAAACATCAGCAGTACCAACCTGTTTAAACCAGGAAGAAAGTCTTTGGTAGCAATGACTTCCTTACTCTTGACAAAGTGGCTTAGGATGTAAGAATGTGCTGTTAAATGATTTACTGGTGCTACAATTAGGATACCGAAAACTAGCCTATCCATGAGCTTTGCTGACTTGGACTTCATTAAATGATCTCACTAAGCACATTCACTTTCTTCTAGAGTTCAGTGAGTAGGAGAAAGCTTCATTTGCATGCTGACTTCACCAGTGTTTGTCCTTACTGAGTGCTCAGTGCTCATTTAAAAGGTCAGGCTTCACTATTTGTTTTCTGGTCAGTCCAACCAGATGCTTGATAGCAAATGTTCCAACCGTAAATGTAAATTTAAGAAACACATATTTAGTCTCTGCTCTCAGAAGAGAAGAAATTTCTTTTATAAGCCTCTTCAGACCAGCTGACCTGAAGGATCTCAGATAGGGACCCTGATCATAACCAGAACCATATTATGGCCTGCTAGAGTACAATGCACTCAGATTTGCATGCATAATCTTCCCATGGACCTGCAAGATCCCGAAAACTTAGAAAATTTTTAAAGATTATGTGAAAGGATATCTCTGCACTTGATTTATCAAAGCAAATATAAATAAGCACTCGACAAATTACAGGCAGTATTTTATTTGTTTTATCCATCAATACTTTGAAAACTCTGAATGCAGGTTTTCTATTCAGATGGCTCAGACATTTTGAAACATACCGTTCCAAGAGCGATATCGGTGCATTGCATTTTTGTGTGTTAACTATATATGGTTTGTCTTATTTCAGCCATATTTTCAGAAGACAAAAACACCACAGAGCCTGCTTATAAGGTTAAAAATGTCCCATCCATTCCCAACACTCCAGAGCCAACAGCCATGCAAGAACCTTTGGTGGGCAGCCAAAAGAGAAAAGCAAGGAAAACCAAGATCACACACCTTGTCAGGACAGCAGATGGCCGGGTATCACCAGCAGGATGTACATTAGGTAAGAAAAGGGAGCTTTAGACAGAGATAACCAAAGCCAGCAGTTGACCATGTTAGCCTCATTGGCCAGTGAATGACTGTAAGCCAACAGTGGTTCCTTACTGAAAATTGGGCCTGTTCTGTAGCATTCTGCAGACTTCTAAAAGTGCATTTTTATTCCATGTTTTAAGAATTATAGCAAGTTTTCCAAGAGCATATTTGAATTCCTGGAAAGGAAAGGTAATTTTTAGGACTGTCAGCCTCTCCTTTTCTTTCTCAGCATGCACAAAAACAGTCTTGATTAAATAAATTCCAGAAAAGCCTAGGTTTTAAGGATACTGTATGAATCAGTGTTTCTCCATGGTCAGCAATTCAAGTCACTAAATACCAGATTATCAGATATTCAAGCCAGTGGATTAAGGATTCTCAAAAATGTATTGAGCATTTCCTATGAGGCAGAGTCAGGTCATTAAGGGAACCTCGAGTTCTGGGTTTTTTTAGTTCTTTTCTCTAATCCAATTAGCAGTGAATTTCCCTATTTTCATTTGTGGCCTGCCCTATGTTTGTTTTTCCTGGTGGCCTTCATGTTAGTAAACTAATTTGTAAGGCCTAAGGTAAAGGGTGAGGTCAATGAGTGATACTGAGTATCCCCCACCCTCCACCCAGAATCTTCGGGTACTATACCAAATAAGCATTACTAGTCTTAGCTGTTGCCTTTCTGCTTTTCAGACCTACAGCATTTCATTGTATCTGATTTAGATTGATTTAAGTGTTAATAGAGATGAATTGTTGGCTGAGTTAGAAGTAGAAAACAGTTAATGAATTTCGTGCACTTGTGTTTTGCACATATAGTTAACGATCATTAAGCATATTATAGACCCTGTATTGTACTGTGTCATGTAAGAGATGAAACTCAAAAGAGGTAGAATTTTGTATCTAAGTACATAGAACTAAGCAGAAACAGGGTAAGGACTAAAGCCTGTGTCCAACTCTGTAGTCCTGCAGAAACCTCCCTTGTTCCCATTTTTTTTTTTAATCTTTTAGAGATTTTTGCTATAGGGTGCATATACTCACCCAAGAGACAGAAAGAGAGAAAGTGAGAAATCATCCCCTTGGGGGGGGGATGGCCTTTCAGCAATCCCTTATCCTCCATTCTTTTGGGATTTGGGGCATGCCCTTGCTCTGGCCCAGCAAGAGTTTCAAGCCACCAGGTCCGGGATTCAAAGTGCATTTGGCCATGTGGGAGTCCAGCATCCCAATCACCATACCTAACCTGCTGACCCCTCTCAGAGCTTTGCTTTTCAGTCAGGGTTCTGCTCTGTGATTTGTTTTGTAGATTGTTAGATCATCGTGCCTTATGTCTTCATTCATCTTTCACTTGTAGGAAAAGTGAAAGCTCTTTAGAAAAGACTCCTTTTTGTGCAGAAGGGCATCATATATGACATTTATAGCTTTTATCAGTTGCTTTCTGTATTTAAAATGTTTTTAAAACCAAGATAAAAATTCTACCTCCTCCATAATGAACACATAATGAACAAAAGTATACTCATTTCCAGGTATATTTTCATAACATTTCATCCACCTCTTTATAAACACCAGACAACCCTTTGGTTGTTTTCCAGTGAGTCTTCAGAGCAAAATAACAATTTGGGATCTCACTCAGACAGATTACTCTGATGCTTGGGCACATTAAATGTTGGTATCACAGAGTACCAAATACTATGGTTGCCATAGTAGGGCCTGGTACTACTGAGAAATTTTTAGTCCATTGGTTTTTTAAGGGCTCTATCTAACAGCATCTGCATCTTTTCTGCAGAAATCTCTTGGGATTTATTTTGGTCAAGGCTCATTTTTGCTACTCACTCCAAGACTTCTCTATGCTGAGACCTGGGATTTAAAAAAAAAAGAAAAAAAAACCCAGCTTCTCCAGCTCAGCTTCAGGGCACCGCACTGTCCATAGTTGCAATTGAGCTTAATAAAAGAGCTTTGTTACTGTGGGAGAAGAGATCGTGTAAAAGCCTTAATATTTGATGGATGGCAGAAGTGAACAGTAAGAATGTTAGCGGTTTTCACATTGTCTGGCGCAGTACTTTTTCAGTGTCCTTTCTCCGGAGAGAACAGAGTGAGCTTCTCCTGATGGATCTCTCCTTTGTTATAGATGACAAACCAAAGGAGCAACTGCAGAGGAGTCTCCCTAGAGCAACCGAGACAGACTGCAATGACGAATGCTCACACAACACGGAGGTGGAGGAGACACGGAGCAGTACTCCAGAAATGCCTGCCGTGTCGGCGTTCTTCAGCCTCGCTGCGCTGGCTGAAGTGGCAGCCATGGAAAATGTGCACAGGTTAGTCATGGAACACAGATGTAGTAAACAACATGGAAACCATGTCAACCTTTCTGATGTGATTTGTGTCATTTTCCGCAACGCACTAGGTTTCAGACCTGGTTCAAGAACACTGTTGTTTGTGTGAAGTGTTACAAAAGTGTATTGTGCTAATTAGCCATGTGGGAAACTGTATGGGAATACACTAAGTGTTTTATTTTGAATATATCATCTCGTAGCTAAACTTTATTTCTGTACAGAGCCTGAGAGCAGGGGAGCAGATTATCAAACCATTATACGTGAGTTTTAGAGTCAGTTTTAATTTATCATGTGGGGAACACCCTCTCTGAGGATGGTGTTGATGGAGGCAATGGTACCAGCTATCAAAGGACAGTGTGGTTCAGGAGAAAGAGCATCCTGGCATCTGACTCAAGGCAGATAGAAACCTAGGTTTTTCTTCAGTTCTGTGATTTGCTACAAAGTAATTTATTTCTCTGGACTTTAGTTTTCTCATCTTATGTTGAGCATAATGATGTCCCCAAAGAATTATAATGTGGGAAGGATCAGAGGAGATCACAGATGTGAAAACCCTTTGAACTTAACAAAGCCCCACAGAAAATATATTAAGTTCTAAGTGTATAATTGGGTATTCTGCTACTTAATGGATCCTTTGGGAAGGCAAAAAAAAAATCCTTTAGTAAATTCAGGTGTTTCATATTTTTATTCAAAATGGATTATCCACAGATGAGTTATTTCCTTAGACTCAATCTTCAGTTCAAAAGACCTAGCACAACTTGTGTAGCCACCTGTAGGCTTCCATGTTTCTTTTTCACACCCTGTAAACCTAGAGGTCCTAATATGAGCTTTGTTGGCTTCTTGATCTTTACCTGTCATATTACAGTTCTAGTGCTTCCTCACAGATAGCCTCTAGATACTTCTAAGAAGTCAAATTTCTTTTGATGTGTACACAGCAAGTTCCTAATAGCAAGTGAATGCTGACAGACATTGTTACAATCCATATAGTCTCTAAGGGAGATAATGCACAGTCAGATCTCCATTCATGGAGTTCTACAGTCAAGAACAGAGCACAAGCCATACACATGCAAAGAGAATAAAAAATACCTGCCTGAATGAGACTCAGTGTCCCTGTAAATTGTGGAAATTAAAGTTAATAGAAGAATTCAGAAGGGGATCCAAATTTAGGGCTCAGAAAAGGCCACCACATCATCATACTTGCTGCTGCCTGCATTCTCTTCTTAACATGACTGTCATCACACTGTTGCCCTGTTCATTAACCTTCCATGACTCCCTGTTAGTCACAGGAGAAGGCCCTTGTAAACCTTCCCACTCTCATCTCTTCCTACCTGTCCACATTCCTGTCCTGCAGTCACATAGAGTCACTTGCTCCTTTCCAGATAAGGCAAGGCCTTGCCCTTGTGGTCCTCCTTGCCTGTGGACCACCGCCCTCTTCCAGCCCTTGTCCTTGACCCCCTTCTTTCAGTCCTCCTGATGCCCGGGGCTACAAGGTCCTGCAGCTGTACACCCTGCAACCATGTACCCTGCGTCCGTGTGCCCTGTGCAATGCCTCTGACCATTGTTGGCTTATAACTCTCTTTGTTGATGCTTCTGTCTCCCTCCAGTATATTTTGAAAACAAAGCACTGGTTTTATTGTTCATGTCTCCAGCTTGTGTAGACAATTTCCGTTACATCAGTGGATAAATGAACAAATAAATGGGCAAAAGAGTAAATGAAATAGATCTTGAAATGTGACTTCCTTGGTTAGGTAGCAAGCATAGAAAAAAATAATGTGAGAAAAGGTTCTTTTTCTTCACATACTGCTAGAATAATATTGATTACTAGTATTGTACCATCAACCTAATAAATGGTTACTATTCTTAATATCTAGAAAGACAGAACACCCTGGGGAATATTAGTTGTAACTTTATTCCTTATTTGTTAAAGCAGACCTACCAGCCAGCTCTCTGCCCATAGGCTTAATGTAATTGTACCTGGTTTGCACACCAATTAATTGTTACTTAGGCATCACCTAGGTTCATAATTTAAGAGGGTGGCCCATGGAGTTAGGGGCAGGAATATATTACCTGTACTCTTGCCATGAAAAATCTAGCATTAAGTCTAGAAACCCAACGTAAAAGGTAATTTTATAAAATGCTAAAAATATAGAGTGGAAACAATCCTTTCTTATGAGCCTGTTTATTTATTGGGAGTTTTTAAGGAGGAAAGCTCATTAAACTTAATCCTTAAATTAGTCCTCCTAGGTGAGTCATTTTAGTCCTCTTTTAATGATGGTTTAGACAGTTAATTAACTTGCCAAGTGTACACAGCTAACCCACTCCTGAGTCAAGATTTCATCTGAAGTCTTTGGACATCAGTTTTGCTCTTTGCTCTAGCTTGCTGCCTAAGAAGGTATTGATTATGTTACAGAAAGGCATGAAGAATCTCACCTGACCCTTAACACTAGGTATTAGACCATCAATTCACTCCCATTGTGTTCCTTCTGTTACCATTAAGTTGGGCTTTCACCCCAATTGCTCTTTCTCCTTCTTGCTTTCATTTTTTACATTGTACTTTTCATCTTCACTTTTTTTTTCTTTTACCAATATTTATTAGAATTATTTTGGGTCTTATCAGACATTCAATCTTTTCATATTTTTAATTGCCAAGAGTGTATGTGTGCTTCTAGAAAGAGAGAGAAAGCATACCTGCCCCACCACCACCAGGTCCTTTTTCATGCATACACCTGGCATGTTTTTCAAGGCACCGGAGCCAGGATTTGAACTACAGTATGCCATGTAGTACTCAATTTCCTCTGCACAGCATTTAATCACTGTGCTATAGGGCTAGCCCTGATAATCTTAGAGATTTTTTTTAATGGTATTTTAACTTATATTTTTTTAACAAAGGGCTCCACATAGAAACACTGGGGCTGATGGCATCCATATATAAATAAACAAAATTCCAGACGTGTTTTTTTGGTTGGTTGGTTCGTTTTTGCCATAGGGCACTTACACTCACCAGAGTGACAGAAAGATGGTCATGCCACATTCCCTTCTCCTCTATTTTCCTCTTAAGATTTTGGGCACGTAAGCACATGCACCCACTATGATTTTTCAGGCCTCCAGGTTTGGGACTCAACTGTGGTTGGCCATGTGGAAGCCAGTGCCTTAACCACCATACCACCTGCTGATCCCCTATTTTATTTTAACACATTTTGTTTTTCTAAAATCTTAAATATCTTGGGCTATTAAGTGGCCATTGGATTCTGAAACCCCTAAATGTTAGAATTTGTCTACATTATTTTTCTTTTTTGTGCAACAAAAGAAACTTGTGTATAATTATATAGCAGATATTATTTGAATCTTAAAAAACAGCTCTTTTTGTTATATGTGATCTGAGGAAGATACTACATTAAAAGGTTAAACCATGAAAACATTGCTGCTTCTTCACATATTTTTAGTGCAGTGTTATGTACTACAGACCACTTGAGGGATCAGAGCAGATTGTGCATCACCTAAACTTTGTAGGCCTGTGGACTAATGTCAAGAAGGTGGCTAAGCCTATCTTTTTAGAATGAGAAGTTCTATAAGATTAATGAAGAATTTTGAATAGTTTTTTCTTAACTATGAAGTAAATCCTAATTTTTACTATCAATTACACAAAGCAGAATGAAAAATAGACTATGTTTGACTTAACCTAGTTCCAATCCAAAATAAAGGAAATTTCCATGAAATTGTTAACCCTGCAAGGAAGTCCCCCTGCCCCATGTATGTTGACCTTTGGCCCAAGTAGGTTGGATTTTCTTACAATCTAAAATCCAGAGTCAGTTCTTTCTTCCTATGTACTCTCTTTCTGTATACCTATGAGACTTTTCTTTAGTTAGGAGGGTTTTTTGGTTTTCTTCTTTCCTTTTTAAGAGTTTTTGTTGTGTGTTGTTTTGTTTTTTAAGTGTGTTTGTTTTTTAAGAGTGAAAGAATTAGACAGGACCACAGTAGGATCTTCTACTGTAATCCACCCTCAGCCTCAGTCAGCCCTGGATCATGGGCACATGCATGCTTGGTATACTCAGGAGGTCTCTGGACATGAACCAGAACCTTCCCAAGTGGATTAATCTCGCAGAGCATTATATTTTATTGCTGTGCCACCATTCAGCCCCCATTTTGTTGATCCTTAATCATCATTTATTTTGTTGTTGTTGTTTTGTTTTGTTTGTTTTTGTTTTCTGTTTTGAGAGATTTCTTTGCTATAGAGCAGGTGTGCCTGTTGGAGAGAGACAGAGACAGAAAGTGAGACATCACTCTCCTGGATGATGGCCACACCACAATCCCTTCTCCTCCATTCTCCTCTTGGGATTTTGGGCACACACTCACACCCCTGGTGTGAGTTTCAAGCCACCAGGTCCAGGACCCAAACCACAGTTGACAATATGGGAGTCTGGCACCTTAACCACTATGCCGCCTGCTGGCCCCCTTTGTTTGTTTCCTTTTTTGTTTTGTTAGGAGTCACCTGCTGTATCCCTTTCTCTTCAGGAGTTATTGCTTTCATTGGCCTTACATTTTTAATAGAGTGTATCTTACATACCTTACGAAATGAGCCTGGAGGTTACCAATTACTATAGAAGGATTTTTTCCCTTTTGGCAAGTCAAGGAAAGAAATGTGTTTTTTGTTTTTTTGTTTTTTTGTTTTTTTGTTTTCATATCAGTGGATCAAGAGGAAAGGTGTTATTCCAGAACCTTGAGTGGAACTTTTCCACTTTTGTAGGGAGCAGCCCAATCTGAAAAAGCATGGTGACCTTCAGACACATGCAAAAACGCTACTCTATGAGCTTTATTTGCATAGCAATGAAAACATTAACATACTAATATGCTAGCTACTGATACTGCAAAGCAGTATCTGTCTGAGGAAGCCACATGTGTTATTTAGATTTTGTTTTAAAAAATCAGAAGAAACTAAATGATGATAGTCTTTTTTTATATTATCAGGCGATTAGCATTTGAAAACAACTGGCTTTGTATTTTATTTATTTTATTTTTATTTTATAAAATAATAAATCTGAGGCTCATTTGAGGTTGTGGCTTTGTTTTTTATCAGAGAAGTTGGTTTGTAAGGAGTTGTCCTTAATGTTTATTCTTCAGGTTTCATCTCTACAAGATAGAAGTGGTTGATTATTTGAGGCCAGAAAGTGTGTATGGGTTGTATGAGGGGAAGTGAGATAGGAACTAGGAAAGGAGGAAGAAAAAGAACTTTAAGGACAGAACAATTTTAATTAAATGATGTAAATAGTCATCAGTAGCTATTAAATAAGATATTAGAAAGCTTTCATTTGTTATTCATCATCCTCTGCTATGGCTAATAACACACCCTAAATAAGTGATTATTTCTTTTCTTCTTGTTTTGTAGAGGTCAGAGGTCAACTCCACTCGCCCATGATGGACAGCCAAAAGAAATGCCACAGGCTCCTGTACTTATTTCCTGTGCTGACCAGTGAAGCGCCCTTTAATTGTAAAACATTGTGCTTTACCTACTACCCTAGCCTTGTCTTTACCAAGGGATGCTAGTGAGTCCATGCGGTGAAAAAATATAGACTGCAAACAAGTGCTTGTTGCCCTACACGGCCCAGATTCACTTGAAGCAGAAGTTAGCATCCTGGGCCAGTTTGTTCTTTCAGCACCCAGTCTTTGAGGGCGATGTTGTCTGTCTGATACTAAGCAGAAACAGAATGATCCTAGAGCTTTGCTTTCTGTTGAAGGCTTTTGATGGTAATAGGTGGTAACTTGGTAAAAGGCTGCCTTTACTATAGCTCATCCAGCATCTCTTTTACCAACCAGAGAGTGTGAAACTAGTTTCATATATTACCTAGTTATTCTTTCAAAACAAAACAAAAAACAAACAAAAAAAACAAACAAAAAACTGACGCACTGCACTAGTTATTATTAGATATTCTTAGTCTTTTTTGTACATGGAGATTTAAGTTCTAAGATGGTTTATATAATAGGTTATACCTACATTTATATTGTAGAATAAATATTAAGAAGCCTGTTCCAGAGACTCCCAAGCAGCACGAGCAGGCAGATGTACCATTGTTAGCGGTGTATGCTCGGCCTCGTGGTCCATATATTCTGCACTTTTATATTTGCCACCAGAGTGTAGTTTGTTGGCAAAAAAGAGAGAGAAAGAGAAAAAAAAATTAACAGTTCTTACAACCTGAATTGTTTTCTTAGCCTTGAGTGACCAAGAATTTGCTTGGGGCAAATTGTGGCAAATATTTTCCCAGCCAGGGAAAGAAGATTACTGATGTTTTCATGCCTTGAGGATTCTTTTATTTTTACACAGGGGTCTAAGTGACCAATGGATCGTTCATACGAACAGACAAAAAAAGACAAAAATATTATTCAAAAGTGACCTTAGTATTACTTCACTATTCTAACACATTGAAGACACTCACTTCACGTGGACTTGGAGCTACAGACCTTTTACATCCATCCCAGACAGACCGGACGGGTTGCGATTGCTATGCACAGCCTAATTGGCACTGCAGGTTTTTAGAGCCATTTTGAGTTTGTGTTGTGAAGGAGGTATTTAGTAGATGATGAGGGAGGTATGCCTGACCAGAGTGGGACTCTTAGTCATAGATCTACCTGCAAGTTTTTGTTTCCTTTTCGTGTTTTGTTGCTTTTGAACATAAAACCAACCATACATATGCCAGTGCCAAGTGGATTAACTGGCTTAGAACATTCAACATATTGACTTAGCCACCTGATGTTCACAGTGTCTTGTTTCCTAGCAACAGATGCAAAGTGATAAATCAAAATTAGTCTGAGGCTACAGATTTTACAGGGTATTTGTTCCATAGCACAAAGTATTTCCCCACTCTTGCATCACAGCACAAACTACCAAATTTTAATTTTTGGATTCCAGCAATAATTTTTAATGGTTTTCAAACTGGCTGATTTTGATAGTGCTAGTTCGAGTTTGAAGCTTTTGAATTAGATCTCTAAATGGTGACAGTTTACATGGTTTTATCTAGCTTTCTTATTTATACTTGACTGAATTGTAATGATGATTTTTTTTCTAATTGTAATTTGACCTAATAGCCATACAAAAATGACTCTATTAATACTGACTAGATTTAGTTTCTGATGGTTGTAGATATTACTTCAGTTTCGGTGCTGGAAAATATGTACAACATACTAACAGGATTTTAAAAAAAAACTGCTGAGGTTTTTCTTTTTTTTTTTTTCCCCAAAGTAGGTAAAGAGAACAATAGAGCTTTAGAATGGTGTCCTCAAAAATGCATATTCATTGTGGGGAGGGAGGAAAGAAGGAATTGGTGAAAGGTTAATTAGAAGTTACAGCTTAACCCCATTCACCTAGAAATAAATCAAGTGAGCAGCCCCCAGATTTTAGTAATATTTAGTAATATTTTTACTATGATACTGTTTTATTAATATTTTCTAAATTTCAAAACAAAAAAGTGAATGTTTGAAAATTGCTGGGTCCTGATGTTGGTGGCTGTTGGAGTTTTGGACCACTAACTAGAGGCGATTTAAGAATTATGATTAGCTAAAATCCAAAAAAAAAAAAAAAATGAAAAACCAACAACAATTGTATGGTGCAGAACATGCACCTTGACAATGGTACTAACTTGTTATTCTATAGAACATGTTAGAATAGGTCTATTTTTGCCAGAGCACCCTCCTTCAGTCCTCCAATCACATTTCACTAGAGTTCCTTAAGAGATTGCTGTATATTCATGGGACCTTTTTTAAAAAAGAAGCAAAACAAAAGATTACTTTTTTCTATGTGATTAATATCTTACTTGATCTGCTTTTCCTAAACCTCAGTGGCTTTTCCCTTAGGGAAGGGTGGGGGGGGGGGAGGGCAACCTACTGGATATGACTGTTTTCAGATACTTTAAAACAAACCTTTTTGTAGAAATGCTTAATTTTTAAGCGGTTAGGCACTGAGAGTAGCAGAAATCCTGCAAAGCTTTATAGTTCTTTAGATACTCGCCTTGTCGTTCCTCTGAGTGAAGTCTTGATTTCAATAATCGTGTTTCTCATGCCCTGAATCTGTTGGGAGGGGTGTTGGTATTTTCAGGTAACAACATTGTCAGCACAAATATTTCATACCAATATGTAGTGCTCTCCCCCAAGTTATCATTTTTTATTTCATTTTCCTCATTCCTTCTTATTTTGGAAAATCATATTGCTATGGTGTGTCCTTTAATCTGCCAGCAAACACCATCTACACTAACATTTGTCCCACAGCATCTTCAAGAGAAAAAGTTGTTGCACCTTATGTATATCTCAAGCAAACCAAAATATACTCGCCTGCTTTGTTTTTTTCCTAAATTGTTGTATCATATCTTTCTGAGACCATTCTGAACTTAGTTGAAGTGATCAATATTTATGCTTTTAACCTTAACTTCTGGATTCAAACCTGTATATAAATCTCTTGAAAAAAATTGTCCTAGCCCTTCTCTGCGATGCTGGAAGTGGAAGATTTCGTCTCAGATGGAGACGTAGTACTGTTCCAGTTTTCTTTAGCCTTTTATTTATTTAGTTATTCTGAGTATTTCCTATGTAATTTTGAAGTGTGTAGAGTATATTATAGTGACTGAAGCTGCAGCTCAAAGAAGCTGAGTGAAAGAAAAATTACTGTAAGACATCCTTTTAAGTTTTTATTTGTTTGGGTACTGTATATGAGATCGGGAAAAAGAAAAGTGTGTCCCACAGCCACATTGGAAATACAGGTCCTTGTCCTCAAATTAGGGTAGCTTCCAGATTTTAGATCAAAGCTGTTAATGTTAATTCATTAAAACCCTTTTAAACACATAAATCCCACTGTTGTAATTCTGACAGCCTCTTTCCCACAAATGTCAAAAGTATATATATTTATTTAATTCTGTCAGATGAGCTTTCTACCAATGCCATGTCCCAAAGCCATGCTGAAATAATTCCCTTGTTATCATTATTATTCTAGTTCTGGCCTCTAAAATTGTTAGAGAAAAAAATTGTGATGGAACACTATGAACAAAGACGAGCATCTGAACTGGTCTGGCTATTTAGAATCCAGCGTGTTCAATCCGTGTCATCATCTTAGTATGTCAGATGCTACTCTTAAAATGTTGTTTGCACTCTGCAGTCTTTGGCTCAATGTAAGGAAATGTTTGCACCTCTGTAAAATTTCAAGCAAATTACAAATTGCTATAGAACAGGAGTAAGCTGAAAACTGAATGATATGTTTTGCTTATGGGATAGGGTGGGTTGGGGTGGGAGATTCCAAATAGCTCTCTTCCAAGTTTGGCATCTGGCATCAATGTGAAGCAGTGGGACCATGCTGCCTGCTAAACTACTGTATGAATCCCAAGTGTTCTGAAGACCAGCAGCTGGAGGCTGGAGGACAGCATCCTTACAGCAGAGGAGAAGCACCACCGCCGCATTGGGGGAAAGAAAGGAAATCAGGGGAGACCTGGGGCCATCGTTTGTACAGGGAGTGTGGGAGTGTACGTGATGCTGTTGAGATTCATCTTTGATTGCACTGCTCCACAAAGCCCTCATGTAAGGCCAATCCTAATGGGCTACCTCGGCTTTAAAAGTTCATTTCAGTAAGTCCTGTTTCTAAAGTTCGTCTTGTTTCGTTTCTACCTTCAGTGCCACTGTATTCCACTGCAGTGTTTTGACTTCACAAACCGCCTTCTCCAGAGAGAACAATACTGTATTGCTGAAAATGGGTAGTAAAAGCAAATGCTCTTATTACGTTTGACCTATAAGTATTCAGAGTGACTGCTAGGTGGAATTGAAAACAGCTTTCTCCACAGAGCTTGTTTGGTATAAAAAAGTATACTGATTGTTAATTAGATGTAGCTTTTATTTATACAGGCATTCCCAAAGAACTAGATTTGGATTTTGGTAATTTTTTTGAGTTTTAGGATTTTTTTTAATGATCTTTTTAGATTGACTAACTGAGTACTCATAGAAAAAGAAGCAGTTACTCAGTTCATCTCACTAGCTGTGTCTGGTGGAGTATTCTGGATTTGATGGACTGCTTTGCTCTAACTTGGAAGTGATAGCTCAGTTTATTATACTCCATATTGAATGACTTTGTTCTTTTCACTAGGGACATTATCTTCCTTACCTCTCAGAACAAAGAAGCAACAGAGTGAATAACAAGACAAATGTATTTGACTCCCTCATACAGCTCCATCTGTCTGTGTTCCCCTTTCCTTCAAATATATAAGTATTCATGCTAAAGAAAGCAAGAAAGGTTTCCTCTCCTGGCCAAATTTCATCTGTGGTAGTTTGATTTATACTAATACGTTTAGAGAGGAAACCTCATAGTTACAAGTCCTATGGCCACCATTTTCCTTCTGCACTAGGTGGCCAACACTGACCATGCCCTCCAATTGATTTTGATGCACAGAACTAGCGATCGTGAATATCACTACTCCTTCCAAAGATTGCCTGTTAACTTGGGCCGTAACTGGTTACCGAGTAACAGGGATCAATTCAATCCTCCAAACCCTTCCAGTGGCAGCAAATCTTACCTCACAAGCTCTAACCTAAATCACAGAGACTCGCTTGTTCATGAGCTAACACTGATTTTGCTTTGCAGCCCACCAGAGGGCAAGCTCACGTCCCCGACACCTCACATTAGTGCCTCAGCTCTAGGAGTGGCAGAACTGGGGGAAGGCAAGGTTTGGGATCTGGAGCTCAGCAACTTGCTCAGCAACATTTTTTTTTTTTTAATTTCATTTCATTATAACTAAATAAGTCTCTTGCTCTCAGGAATTTGTCAGAAAACAAATACAACCACCTGAGATTCCACATACCAGATTATGAACTTTTCTCATAGGTTTGAATTGCTTACTTACATGTCATAAATTAACCATAGCTTCATTTGACCACCAGGTCTGAAATCTGTTGACACTTTCAGCATGACCGAATCGCTCATTTTTTTTTGTTGTTTTTGCTTTCAGAAATTGGCTTGGTTCTCTTTAGAGTTGGTGTAAACATGCCATGTAATAAATGATTTCCACTTAATGGTACAACAGAATTATTGCTTTCTTAGATGTATGTGTAGTAAAAGTCAATATACACATTTATATCATTTCTTTCTTCAAAATCTTATACCTAATTTGATATTTCTAAAAATTGCACATGTAAGTCATGTGTATAACATGCTAAAGTACTTTAACTGTGATCTTAAAACTGAATAAAAATATTTAATAAAAATTTGAAATATTTTAAAGATATTATTCAAATATATTTCTTTATGTTCACACTACCAGCCTAGAGTATGTGCCTTCAATGTACAACATCCACTAAAAACAGTAGGAAAAAATACTTCAATAAAAGTAAGATATTTCACCTAAAGTAAGATATTTCACCTATCTTAGAACATTGAATGATGGTCTCCCCCTAAACTGTGTTTGTCTGAGATTCACCATTTTCTGAGCAGTTTGGGTTGCTTTTTCCAAACATGTAGAGTGGAGATCAGCCCAACAGAAGAAAGAAGACACGCATCAGTCTGCCATTTGGGACAAGGGCTTTGGGGCTCCTCCCTGGAAAAAATGTTACTGAAACACACCATCTTTCCATGAACTCTATAGCAAAACTATGGAAGTGATATTATTAAGACTCAAAGCTGAGACCAGCAGTTAGCGTAATGGCTATGTCACTGGACTCCTGGACCCGGTGGCTTAAACTCACGCCAGGCACGTGCACATGCGTGCCCAGGATCCCGAGAGGAGAAGGGATTGTGGCATGGCCATCCCCCTGGGGGGTAATTTCTCACTTTCTGTCTCTCTGTCTCTCTCTGTCTGTCTGGCGAGCACACGCACCCTATAGCAAAAACTTCTCCAAATAAAAGAAAAAAAAAAACCTAAAAGCTGAAGTATAAACTCAAACCTTAGATTTCTGAATAAAATATTTCTGATCCTTAGTTTTTATTTTTTAATCTTGAAAACTACACAGAGAGAGAGAGAGAAAAATTATCATCAAATGGGTTTTGCATTAGAAAGACTTCAAGTTCAGGCACCACCCGTTTACCATTAGGTTTTTTAACCTCTTTGTGATCACCCTTATCTAAATGATGGTGATGATGAGACCTCCTCATCATTGCTGTAGAGATGGAAAGTATATTTTGGCATGTCTTACAGTGTAAATAGTAAGTGTTGATGATAGTATTTTTGCTCCAGTTCTAAGGTTAGCATGTTGCTATGTAAGTACATTAAAAAAGATGCTTCAAAATAAACGTGTGAGGGTTTGATGCGTCAGAGGCTTATTGTTTCAGGAAATGTGATGGTATAAGAAAGTCTAGATAGGTAAATTCACGTTAGTAAGCTCATCCTTTTATGTAAGTAGCATTACATATGATTTTTAAAATAAAATTAGCCTACCTAATGAATTAAACAAGATACTTCAGAACACTTTGCATTCCTGAGAATAAAATGTGTGTGGGGTTGGGGTGGGGTGATAGAGGAAGACCTGCATTTCAAAGATAAGTTCAGTTAACAAAGTGACTGTATACATATATGTGATTTTATGGTCCTACATGCATTATACAGTTATATCTGTCCTTTTGAATAGAACATA